TGCGGACCATTTTCATTTTTATAGTGCTCTGTGAACACAAATTAGTTAGCATAAATCAGTTAAAAAATGAGGTGTCTATTTACTTGTGACCACTCAGTGTATGTGTGAACCATGTTTCTGGCGCAAAATAAAGGTGACAACATTCGAGAATTCAAACGTCAGGCACATTACAGAAGACGCTATCCCAAACGAATTACATGAAGAGAAATTGATCATTAATGTATCTATTGATATTCGTAAGAAAAAAATTGTTTAATGCTGCGGTCATTCCATGATATCGTTTGCTTGTTGTAAGGATATATACCAAATAGAAACAACAAAAACAAAAATGTCATACGGTGATTCGGATATGCTAATTAACAGAAATAAAACTAAGATATATTAAGAGTATTCAAACTTGGCAGTATATGTGGTTGACTGATGTTTTGAAGTATATCGTGCATTTATTTTTATTATAAGCGTAGGGGAAATTTCGGGGAATTTTGGAAAATAAACCTATTGTTCATGGCATCGTGTAATTTCGTTCATGTTTCTTCTAGATTAAAGTCAGTTTAGGAAACTTTAGCTACTCTAAGAACTTATGAGTGAAAGCATGGATAATATTTAAATATAGTTAACTACATTTTATCTGCAATATTTATGAACAACAACTGTTATGGTGTAAACTAGATTAATAAGTGAATTAATTATTATCAACTGTATTGTAAGCCATTTACAAATGATAATTACGGTAAAGAATAATACAATGTTATTTATTTCCCTATTTAGCATTAATATTCTGGCTTGAGCTAACTTTAATATCATTCAGAAGTACTAGAGAACCGGTAGTCTAGTCTTCTTATTACCAGAGCAGGCCAAGCAATTATAATGTCAATGGGAGAAGCCTAAATTAGTGATTCTAAGAAGTTATGAATGAAAGGAAGGAAATATATGTAACAACATATAAACCGCACTATGTCTGCAATATCCAGTTCAAAATGTTAATGACAAAGAATGAGATCTGTATTAAGTGAAATTATAGACAAACCGTATAGTGATTCATCTTAAACAAAAGAAATAAACCTATTAGGGCTAGAAAGTACTTCATTCACCAGTTTTTGTTTTCCAGATAGACTTTATATCCTTAAGCTTTAGATACATTGTAATAACAAAGAGCACACCACAGATGTGCTTACTAGGATTAATCACAATTTATAAGATAGATTTTCTCATGCTGCCTTTGGAGTTACTTTACCATTAGTCTTCCTCTGATTGACGGCCATTATTACGCACTAATGCTGGACACCACAGCTTTCATTCTTGCAAGCTTATGTCGAAGATTGCGTGGTCAATCTTAGCCCACACGTTTTGATAAACTTCCCATAAAAGGTTCAATGTGCGTGAACTTTGGCATCCAAGACCGCAAAACTCTACTGGAGCTGCATCAGGGGACATATCAGGTATATAAGTGTAATGGATTTGTTGTGATTCTATCATCTTTCTGATTAAGGTAGTCACTCAATGCCACGGCTCAAATCACATTTATAAACTGCAATTATCCCTACGAACTCTTTCAAAATTTCTAGTGCATACTGGAGGGATTTACACATTTTGATAAAAGTTTATAAAAAACGGCCCTTACACTTCAGATAAATATAAAATAATATATTTTTATTTCAATAGACGTTTCGCCCTTGCGGCTTCATCACTGTTAATATACACAACTGTTTGTATATTAGAATATTACGTTAAATTGTAATAT